TATTACCACAAATTCCTGCCAAACCTTGCTACAATCCTGCATCCATTGAACCAAATGCTGGAAAGTAACTACCAATGGAACTGGACAGATCAATGCGAAGAAGCTTTTTGCAAAGTTAAAGCAATGATTGTTTCAGATCTGGTGCTTACACATTATGATCCTAACCTTCCCTTACAACTGGCTTGTGATGCTTCACCTGTAGGAATTGGAGCGGTACTGTCCCATGTCATGACAGACGGCACAGAGCGCCCGATAGCGTTTGCATCGAGATCCCTGTCGAAGGCGGAGCGCAACTACGCACAGATAGATAAAGAAGCACTGGCTACAGTGTGGGGAGTCAAGAAATTCCACAATTACCTTTTCGGTAGGAACTTTACCTTACTGACTGATCATGAGCCTCTCACTTCAATCTTTCATCCCAGCAAAAGCCTTCCTGTTGTCACTGCTGCTAGATTACAACGCTACGCTTTGTTCTTGGCGGGTTTTGACTATACAATCAGATACAAGAACACTAAGTTACACGGAAATGCGGATGGTCTGTCTCGATTACCCTTGCATAGTGAGACAACAGAAGAAGAGCCAGATCCAGTGGGCCTCTTCTATGCTACGCAGTTTGAGCCCTTGCCAGTCACAGCAGAACAGGTCAAACGAGAAACACAGAGAGATCCTCTATTGGTGAAGGTCCATGAGTTGGTTATGAAAGGATGGTCCACTCCAAAAGATGAAGCGATTAAACCGTTTTACCAGCGGAAAGACGAACTGACAGTTTACTGTGGTGTTCTAATGCTTGGACACAGAGCAGTCATTCCTGCCAAGTTGCGTAATCAAGTGTTAACCGAGCTCCACGAAGGTCACCTCGGTATTGTTAAAATGAAGTCACTGGCGCGAAGTTACATCTGGTGGCCCAAAATTGATAAGGACATTGAGCACCTAGCCAAGAGCTGCCCTGGTTCTCAACTTCAACAGAATGAAGCTGGCAAAGTACCACTACACCCCTGGGAATGGCCAACCACACCTTGGCAGAGAATCCATTTAGACTTTGCTGGACCGTTCCTTGGACAAATGTTCCTTATCATTGTAGATGCACACTCGAAGTGGCCTGAAGTGGAAATAATGCCATCCACCACATCGACGTAGACCATTGACCGACTCCGAACCATTTTTGCCCGATATGGAGTGCCAGCACAGGTGGTGACCGACAATGGGCCACAATTTACATCCGCAGAGTTCCAACTATTTTTGAAGACTAATGGTATCAAGCATATTACCACGGCCCCATACCACCCTGCAACCAACGGTCAAGCGGAACGTTTTGTTCAGAGTTTCAAACATGCTATGAAATGCGAGAAACAAAGTACATCCCAGCTGAAAACCAATATGGCAAAGTTCCTTTTGGCTTACCGGAATACACCGCATTCGACGACTGGAGAATCACCGTCCGTGTTGTTTTTGGGCAGACCGCTACGGACTCGCCTCGATTTGGTGAAACCTGATTTACAAATGAAAGTGATGAACAGGCAAATCGATCGAGCATGGAGGAAAGGACATTCCCCCACACGTCAGTTATCCATTGGTCAGACTGTCATGGCACGTAATTACAGTGGGAAAGACAAGTGGCTACCAGGCATAGTTCGAGCTCAAACGGGACCCCTTTCATACGAGATAAAAGTTGGTCCAAATCGAATTTGGCGACGTCACATCGACCAGCTTCGAGCCTCTAGTGTGAAAGTAAATGACCAGAGTGATGATACGGCTGAACCTCATCCAGAGCTCGGAGAGACTGATCAGAATATTGCACCAGCAGAAGAAATTGTCGCAGAGCCGGATATCGAACTAGCTACAAATCCACCAGTAGTCCAACAAGAAGAAGCCGGTAGGGCTACAACAGGATCTGGACAACGTTACCCAACTAGATCACACCAACCACCCGAGAGGTGGGGTCTTAACTGTTTGATCCGAAAACTGTTTAAGAAAACTACATAGAGAACTGCTTTATTACTTACTGTTATGGTTAGCATAATTGTTCGAACACGATAGTGAACTCATGAACAATATTTTATGATACATTCCTTAAGAGGAGAGATGGTGTTAGATATAGATATAGACGGACAGCGGTCATACGCACGGACATGCGCATGAGATAGGCAGATCGGCCATGCTTATGTATGATTCATATTTCTGTTAAAAGTATAACCTAAATACACGACATTGCCGATTACAGTTAACCTTCGTTCATCTGTACCGGTGCTATGCATCTGTTTTTTGTGACGTGAACGGTTACCAGGTGTTGAAAACGATCTTCCACAGACCTCGCAAGGATAAGACATGTTTACAGGTTCACAATCAAATGTAAAATGAATTCGAGGTTTGTGTACCGTTACATAAATAGTATTATATGGTTAAACCAACATAAATAATCCTATGATATCCTAAGATGCTGTATGATATCCTAAGATGCTGTATGATATCCTAAGATACTGATATCCTAAGATACTGATATCCTAAGATACTGTATGATATCCTAAAATGTTGTATGATATCCTAAGATACTGATATCCTAAGATACTGTATGATATCCTAAGATACTGTATGATATCCTAAGATACTGTATGATATCCTAAGATACTGTATGATATACTAAGAAACTGTATGATATCCCAAGATACTGTATGATATCCTAAGATACTGTATGATATCCTAAGATACTGTATGATATCCTAAGATACTGCATGATATCCTAAGATACTGTATGATATACTAAGAAACTGTATGATATTCCAAGATACTGTATGATATCCTAAGATACTGCATGATATCCTAAGATACTGTATTATATCCTCAGATACAGTATGATATACTAAGAAACTGTATGATATCCCAAGATACTGTATGATATCCTAAGATACTATATGATATCCTAAGACACTGTAGATATCCTAAGATACTGTATGATATCCTAAGATACTGTATGATATCCTAAGTTACTGTATGATATCCTAAGATACTGTATGATATCCTAAGATACTGTCAAGCAGTCAAGCAGTCAAGCAGTCAACGTCAAGCAGTCAAGCAGTCAAGACGTGTCTGAAATAGCTCCCATGTCTCTGTAAAAAGGATTACTTGGCAGAGGCCTTTTACTGATAAGAATTTTACAGAGTCATATATGCTTACTTATTACGGCAAGTAATTTATCAGAATGCCAGAAACAGGTCAAAAAAACGTTCAAACAAGAAGTCAAGCGAGGGCACCACCCAACTTCGAAGGCGACGACATGAAGGAATATATTAAATCAGAAGTTGAAAAATATTTTGGTTCAGTGGCGTTTCAGGATTCGCTACGCGAATTTATTACCGATTCAGTAAAAATGGCGTGTAAAAATCTTGTCGAAAGTATAGTTGTGCCAATTAAAGATGAAATCCAAGCCTTGAAAACAGAACTTATCGAAGTTAAGCGAAAATGCAACGACAATGAGCAATATTCGAGGCGTTCAAGCGTTAGAATTTATGGCATTCCCGAGGGGCCCAAAGAAAATTGCATAAAGAAAGTGTGTGATTTCTTTCAGAAAGAAATGGATTTGGCGTTTGCAGAAGAAGATATTGATAGAACCCATCGTGTAGGCAAGAAAAATCGAGATGGAAACCGCGCCATGATTGTAAAGTTCAAAGCTTATGACAGCAAAAGGTCCGTCATGAAAGTAAAAAAAGCTAGATTAAGTAACAAAACCTTTTCTGTCTACGAGGACCTCACGTTCTTAAATCGAAAACTTTTGTATCTGGCAAGAAACGAGTACAAGGAAACTCCTGTGTGGACGATAGACGGTAGGGTCCTTGTAAATATGGATGGTCGTGTTCAACCTTATGTCCCAACGGTTAACATTTATACTTGGTTACAATCACCTAGTTCATGAATTTGATAATACCTAATTGACTCGTGTGTTAATTTGAAAATACTTTTAGGCCCTGTCTCTCTTTTTTGTTGTATCCTAACTGCTTTTCAGTCAGTTTGTATACGATTGTAGTGGTAACTGCATTTCAGTCAGTTGCATACTTAAATTTACTTGAGCAACAGCGGTTGTTTATTTCTCACTAAAATTTTTTGCTGATAACAATGGGAATTTGTTTGGAAATTTACAGAGCAGCGATTGGTCTATTTAATAGTCGTTCAGAAACTTTTCGTTCGCGTATCGCATTTACATTCCTTTTAACATCAATTTTCTCTGGCTCATTGCATATCATAGCTTTATTAAGTATTTTTTACTTAATGTGTCCTGACATAGAATCAAATCCAGGACCAAATCGCAAGTGCCCTTTATTGGTCGGGCATTTAAATGCACGTAGTCTAAATATAACCCACAAGTTCGACGAGATCGCTTCAATTATCTTAGACCAAAAATATCACATTTTTGCCATTTCTGAAACATGGTTGAATGAATCGATTTCTAGCGATAATTTAGCTATTCCTGGTTATTACCCCTTAATTCGTTTAGATAGGCGTGATGGGAGACGATATGGGGGTGTTGCCTTTTATGTTTCTTCCGGATTGACAATTAAAAGAAGAAATGATTTAGAAGTTAATGAACTGGAAATTCTATGGATAGAAACTAAAATCAATTCTTTTAATATTATTTGCGGGGTATGTTATAGACCACCTTCCAATCTTTCTGGAGAGTATCTTGATTTCTTAGCAAATTTACAATATAGTGTTGACAAAGCCTCCACTGATTCAAATTCCTTACTTATTCTTTTGGGGGACTTTAATGCTAATTATGACCCTTTTAATCCTTTACAAGGCAGTGATTTTGGTGTGATGTTTTATCGCTGGATGGAGTCTAGTAATTTACATCAAGTTATTAATGAGCCAACCCGTATTACACGGTCTGGTGAAGCTATGATAGATTTTATTGTAACTAACTGTCCTGGATTATTCGTTGCTACTGGAACACTAAGTCCTCCGGCTAATTGCGACCATTCAATCATTTACGGTAAACTAAATATATTTTTGCCTAAACCTAAGTGTTATAAACGTTTAATCTGGCTCTTTGATAATGTGAATGTACATGATCTCTGCACTGGTTTGGAAAATGTCCCTTGGGATTCTATTGTGTTTGATAAATCAGATTTGAACGAAATCTACAATTCTTGGTATGCCTGCTTCCGCTCGGTTGTTGAGACCAATATTACTAATAAACTTGTGATCATTCGACCTCGTGATAAACCGTGGATGAACAATTTTATTAGGTCAGCTATTCGAAAACGGAATAGACTGTTAAGAGTCTATAATAGAAAAAAGTCAACAGTACTATGGCAAAAATATCGTCAGCAGCGAAATTTCACTACAACTTTAATTAGGAATAATAAAGCTAGGTATTTTGAAAAAGTTAACAATCAATTGGATGATCCTTTGACAGGCCCTAAAAAATGGTGGACTGTAGTTAAGACCTTATATGGTGGAAAGGTGCAAGTAGCAGTTCCCACTCTTATAGACGGTTTAAGAGAGGTCACCGATCCGAAGGCAAAAGCTGAAATTTTAAACGATTATTTCTGTTCTCAGTGCAATGTAGATGACCAAAATACAGTTGTTCCAAACGATATTATTTACTTCCAAACCTGTGCGGAACTATCTTACATTCAAACAACAGAAAGAGAAGTTTACGACCTTCTTGTCGCACTTGATATTTCAAAGGCCTGTGGTCCAGATGGTATTAGTAATAAAATCATTAAATTATGTGCGGGTGGGCTTTACGGACCCCTGACAACATTAATTAATGCATCTTTGGATGCTGGAGTCTTTCCGGAAGAGTGGAAAATTGCAAATGTGGTGCCACTGTTTAAAAAAGATGATCGCCAGTCAAAGCTAAACTATCGTCCAATTTCTCTTTTGAACTCTCTTTCTAAAATCATGGAAAAAATAGTTTATAAAAATCTTTACAATTTTCTCTTAGCTATTGGTTATCTCAATGATCTCCAGTCAGGGTTTCGCCCAGGTGATTCTACGGTTAACCAGTTAACTTATTTAGTTCATAAAATTTATCTTGCCCTTGAAAATGGACATGAGGTCCGTATGGTCTTTTTGGACATAAGCAAGGCTTTTGATAAAGTTTGGCATAAAGGCCTTTTATATAAATTGAAATGTTTAGGAATAAAAGGGTCTTTGCTATCATGGTTTCACAGCTATCTTTCTGGTAGAAAACAGAGAGTAGTTATTGAAGGGCAATCGTCTGGCTGGGGTGATCTTGAGGCAGGGGTACCACAAGGTTCTGTTCTTGGACCCTTACTTTTCTTAATTTATATTAATGATATCACTGAAAATATTCAGTCTGAGGGTTTGTTATTTGCAGATGACACTTCTCTATGTGAAGTTGTCGAGACCCCAGAAATAACTTCAGTTAAATTAAATAGCGATTTAGACAGCATTAGTATTTGGGCAGATAAATGGTTAATGAATATCAATTCTACCAAAACAAAAAGCATAACATTTTCGGCAAAGCGAGACAACTTGCAACATCCTGACTTATTTTATCGTAACAATATTATTGAGCAAGTTAGTTCCCATACCCATTTAGGTGTAACCCTGACGTCAAATCTCTCTTGGAGACCACATATTTTAAATATCTATCAGAAAGCTAGCAAGAGAGTAAACTTATTGAAGGGGATCAGATTTAAGGTTCACAGGTCAACATTATTCAAGCTTTACAAATCTATGATTAGACCTACTATGGAGTATGCGGATATTGTGTGGGATGCATGCTCTGATGCAGAAGCAGAGCTCGTCGAACTTGTTCAGTATGAAGCGAGTAAGGTGGTGACTGGCGCATTCAAAGGGTCAAGTAGAGTGCGCCTTCGTAATGAATTGGGATTGGAAGAAATGAAAACTCGGCGATTAATTCGTAAACTGACAATGTATTATAAAATAGTTAATAATTTTACTCCAGCCTATCTTAAAAATGTGTTATCTCCGAGAGTATGCGAAAGAACAAGCCATAATTTAAGAAATTCACAAAACTTTTCTTTATTCTCAACCCGTACCGAACGTTTTAAAAAATCTTTTTTCCCATCTACCACTAGACTCTGGAATGATCTTGATCATTCCATTAGAACAGCACAAGGTGTAGGCACTTTTAAAAATGAATTGAAAAAATACTTTAATTTACAACAACATCCTAAGTACTTCGATTATTCGTTGGACAGATTTACATCAATATTACACACCCGTATTCGTTTAGGTGCTTCGGCACTTAATACTTACCTGAACAAAATTGGGGTAAAATTTTCTCCAGCATGTTCTTGCGGTCACGCGAACGAAGATGCGATTCATTTCTTCCTCCATTGCATTAAGTATGATTTTTATAGAAACAATCTTTTGGCCTCTGTTGCTCAACTATTTCCGAGTAGATGGTGCCTTCTCTCAGACAATCAAAAAGTTGATTTGTTCCTATTTGGTTCAGATGTGTTAACTGAAGATGAAAACTGTTTTATATTTTACAATGTTCAACTTTTTATTCGAAACACAAGAAGATTTAATCTGGGTTGAGAAGGCTACCACCTTATCTTACTTTACTTTAATATATGTGACGTTTGTAAAATATGTGTGAAAATTATTTTGTAAAAATGTAATGTGCGTGAGCTCTCTTGATGAGCATTAATGCTCTTAGAGCAAACGCAAAAATAATTTAAATATATTGTTTATACAAAAAAAAAGAATACATTCTCTGCTAGTGGTTGATTTACTGCAACCATCACTCGGACTGAAGCCTTTTCTTCTTCTTTGGCTTCCGAGGTCACCACGGGGACCACTTCCGGTGGCCATCTTGCTTGGTCGCTCAGCCATTCGGGTCCATGTTGCCATAATACGTTATTGGTAACATTTCCTCCGCAACTTCCCAGGTCGGCAGGATTCTCGTTTGTTGGAACATGGTGCCATTTAATTCGCTCGTTCTCTCGGATCTTCTGCACTCGGTTGGATACAAATTGCCGATATTCGCCCTGGCCATTTATCCAGTACAGAGCGACTGTGGAATCTAGCCAACAGTGGACTGACGTGATCTTCTCGCTACCAATCGCTCGCTCGACGTTTGTCACAAGGTTTGAGGCCATATGACCAGCTACGAGTTCTAACCGTGCAATTGATAGATTTTTCTTCGCAATCCGAGACTTCGAACACACAATACCCTGCGTAGTCGCACTCTCTTGCTTAGCTACTGCGTATACAACTGCCGACACACCGTCCTTGCTCGCATCACCGAAACCATGGAGGCATATTGATTGTACTGGCTCTTGGTAAGGGGTTAACGTTCGAGGGACTGTGTAGTGATCAGGTAACCGCTCGTACCATTCTGCCCACCGCTTCTTCAAGGGATCATGTAATTCTTGGTCCCAACCGAAATGTTCTTCGCACATTCCACGATAGACTAGTTTCCCATGTAGGGTTGTCGGGGAAACTAAGCCAAGTGGGTCGTAAACACTTGCCAGTTGTAATAGGGCTCCTCTCTTGGTGGTCGTTGCGCTTCGTTCTTTGTCCACCACGACACTCAACGTATCCTTTTGCCTGTTCCAAGACATACCAAGAATCTTCGATTCAGCTCCGTGCGTTCCAAACTGTTTTTTTGCGAATGTTGGTACATCTGTCTTATCAGCTTGGTCGTTCTGGGGTATATCTTCCAGTTCGGCTACGTTGGAATGCCACTTATGCAGGTTGAAAGTCGCGTCTTGAAAGATCTCAGTCGTCTTCAACTTCTTCTCGGTTACTTCTTCAATGCTCTCACCCCCTGTCATAACATCGTCGACGTACAAGCCCTTCTTAATCTCATCCACCAGGGCTGGATATTTTGTCTCCCATGCTGTCAGGTGTTCATTCAACACTCCTCCAAGGAGGAAAGGGGAACAGGTTAGACCGAACAACGCTCTCGTGAATCTGTACACGACTACTTCGTCACTTCCTGGAGCTTTCCAATGGAATCGGAGCGAATCACGTTCAGCTTCCCGTATTCTCACTTGAAAGAAGGCTTTTTCCAGGTCACCTGTCAGCAGTATCGGATGGAAACGCGAACGAATGAGAACGTCCCACAGATGGTTCTGAAGCGACGGTCCTGGATTTAAACAATCATTCAGGGAGGGATCAGAGACTGTCTCTTTAGCTGAAGCATCATAAACGATGCGTAACTTCGTCGTCTCGGCGGTTTCTTTCACGACAGGCTTGTGGGGGACATAAAACTCTTTCCCGGTTGCTGTGAGAGGCGCTGGCTCGACGATCCCCTTCTCTAATTGATCCTGGATAATGCTGTTGTATTCTTCGTACATTTCCTTACGCTCGAGACGCTTCACTAGATTCTTTAGTCTTCGTTGGCTTCCTTGCTCGTTCGATGGGAGCTTTGGATGGTTCGATTTCCACGGTAGGCTGGTTTCGTACCAGCCCTCTTCATTGCGAGAGAGGGTTTCTTTAAACTCGTCATAGACTGGTCGGGGGTCCTTCTCAGAAGTATCTTCGAGCCCGAGAACATCTAGTCGACACAACCGCTCGAAGTCAGCCTGCGAGGTCGTGGTTAGTAGCATGGTACTTTGGTCAAATTCGACCCCAGGACTCATTATGACCCATCCAAACTTCGTTTGTTCCGCTATTGGCTCCCCTTCCTTCCCCACGAGAGGCTTGGTTCTTGTTCTGATTCGCGCATACTCTCCAATCCCTAGCACAAGATGTATGGGAAGGTCGCTCTTCGTGTCACATTCGTCCATCTTGACTGAGTTTAAGTGTTTATATTCTCTTACTATTTTTTCATAATTTGGATTGCTTGTCGTTAAAAGTTCGCTTCTATCTACTTTATTTAATTTCGCTTTAATTTCATGCATACCGTCTAACGAACTAATTGTCACGTCATAAATTTCAATTTTCTTCATCTGCGACGTCATCAACATGTCTATGCGTTGGCTTTTTATCTCACTGGGTTTTGCTTCTAATGCGTTTATAAGTTTCGCAGACGCGTATGAACTCCCGGCGCCGGAGTCAATGAGCGCTCGACACATTACCCCATTAACTTTGACAAGTACAACTGGAAATATTCCCTCAGCACATGCTCCATCAGTCATCACCTTTTTACCACCGGAGGGGTTTTTATCTCTGGCCTTCATCTTGAACAGATCTGTCATCACGTTTATTATTGTACTGTTCGCAAATTGATGTATGATGACGTCTATTGCAGTGTCCGCAGGAGGTCTTACTATTGCAATCGGAGGCGCGATGAAATTTTGTGGCGCAGTTAAAGCACAACCCTTTTTTCGCCAAAATTTGTTTGCGCTCATTCGGATTTACAACTTTCTGACATCTTACAGCCTTATGGTTAGGATCTTCGCAATAAACACAACCCGAAAGTTTTTGTTCGTCTCGTTTGGCGTGAAACAATTTCCTTCGATTTTCATCGTGTCGCAAATCACTACCGGTAGTTACTGGGTTGCGCTTCACCCACTGGCGCAATGCCTCGGCCAGTTTACTAAAATCCCACGACTCCCATTCAGGATCAGTTCGAACTAAATCACCCCTAATCCCTGCCAATTTGTCTAATGTCATCGAAACATTTCCGTTGATTTGGTCAAGTTGTTTGAGAGTCTCTAGTGCTCTCACGCAATACGTTAATTTCTCGCTGAATTCAGCAATTCTTCGGGCGTTGCTATTCGGAATTTGGGGTAAATCGAGAATTTCCTTTACGTAACATTTCACTATCTCAGATTCCTTCCCATATTTATCTTGAAGGATTGCTTTGGCTCTGTTATAGCCCTCGGGGGAAAAGGGAAGGGATTCCACACATATTTTGACTTTTGGACTCAACAGTTCTAACAAATACGTGAACTTTGTTATAGGCGCAATAGAACTTTTGTCGATACCTTCAAACTTTGAGATTACCAGTTTAGGCAATTTTGCGCTTGGACTAGAAAATTCCTGTTTTTCCGGTTTTGATTTGGCGCTGTTCACAAGCTCGGATTGCATGCGTAATTTTTCTTCATGCAATTTTAATTCATTCTTAAACAGCTCCTCTTGGGCTACAGCCTTAGTTTGGCGTTCATTTTCCGCCAGCCAATCACTAAAACGTGCAATTTGAAAATCAGCTTCTTCAAATTTCGACTCAATATTGTCATTCCAATTAGCGATTTCATCCATGTTTGTTTTGCTCGCAATTTTCTGTTCTTCAACCAAGCGTTTGCATTGGTTAGATGTTAGATGTTAACTGTTCACTGATTGTAGCGTTTCGAGGTGCCGTTTAATAGTTTCACGCTTACCTGTTGCCAAGATTTTTTCTGACCTTTGTACCGCTAAGTTCAGCTGCGTCAATTTAGTCTCTAGTTCCATTTCTTTCGGATCCATCTCAATCTTTTCCGCCGTCTCCGTCTCTGGCATATCGTTATCCGTCTTTAAAGTTCACAATCCCGTCGGAGGTGCCACTATGTCGAGAATTCGCCTCCGCTTTAACGTAGTTCCCGACAAGTCACGAAATCACAAATGTTTTAATAATATATTATATTTAACCCAACAGTAACAATAAATCAATTAATAGAATAGTGTAGAATGTTCTCCCTTGTGTCCCAGTTAACGTAATGTTCCCAATATATATATATAGCTATATGTTCGCTGTTTGTCTATCGATTAGACCTTCTCACAATCGCTCACAGTCACAGTCACAATTCTCTCTCGAATATCTCGCTCCTTGTGACTCACTCGTTTTTTGCACACTCACTCGACCCATTCTCCTCTAATCTCTCTCGACTTCGTGCGTCATGCATGTCAACATATTAATTAGATCTATAATTATCAGTCAGTTCCGACAGAACCTTTTCGGAAAGTTATTAGCTAGTGATAAAAATATAGGATTGGCAAATTGCTGACGCATCGATATTTCTTAATTTATAAGTACAACAAATAGAGATGCTTTTAATATAAACATAGTTATATTTTTAGATCTATACGCTTTCAAACCAACCGCTTTAATAACAATGAAATAGAAACCAAACTGCAAGAGCGTGGAAGCTTCACAATTATTTACTGATTCTCTATTGCGATCGCAATGATTCGGTCACGCAATATTTATACACATATTTCGCGCTATCATGAGTGTAGACTGTGTAGAAGTTACACGTATAAACATCGATACGCTTGTTGACGGATCGATATTTATTATACAGGGTGTATCAAAATAAACGCAATTCATCTTTTGTGCTTAATAACTTTCGAAATACTATATCTTGTTAAACGCTTTTAGGCTTACTTCAAAGCCTGTTGTTTTCTCTTTCAAACAAACTATTATCCTTGTCTCCAATGCTAGTAATAATTGCACAGGAAAAGATTTAGTAAAACCTATCATTTTAGTTGCTGTTTAATTATGCAAGTTTACTATATTATTGTTTAGTCGGTTTAAATGTTAGAATTTTCTTCTTTAAACTTTAATGTTGTCGTCACTACATCTGGAAAACCACGTAAGAACAAATTAAAAGTATTTTAAAAGAGACCAGGTTGTTTGAAAATCCTAAACGAATGCTAAAAGTCGTCAAAACATTCTGGTGTCTGAGCCAGATTGTCATCAAATTGCGATGTAATGTAAACAGAAATTATAGCAAGTTGATGTCAGTCAGCTTAGATGGTCCAAGCCAAAATTATATCGCATTTGAAGTTTCAAACTGAGTTAAAAATAGTTGAAGAAAAACCGTAATTATACTTATTGTTACAATCCATTTAATAAAATGTAACATTTTTTTGTTTTAATGAAAAAATCAGTTATTTTCATGGAAAGATTTGTTATTCCATCTCAATTTTTTTAATCTCCAATCGCAATAACGTAAAGTGTTATTACCCGCGAACCAATGAGTCAAATTTAAGAAACAACCCACTGTTAGAAAGCTGAATAGCTACGCTTTAAAATGAATGTAAACTTTAACGTTTTCGTCTATTATTTGTTTATCAATTTACATTTCAGTCGAGGATTGCGTTTTTTTTTATACACCCTGTATAGTAAGTAGAAATAGCTTACAGTTATAACTTTAGAAAATTATAAACATATTTCGCGCGTCCTCGAGTTCTGTTAACTTTCATTCCCAGTTTTTTCTAAATACTGCTCGACTCACAGGTTTATGACCGGTTTACATCCGGAGGAGCACAGCCGTTTAGCCAATCGAATGGCGTATCGACCTGTTTACTCTCACTGAGAAAACTCTGACCACCGGTTTACTCATAATTGCGGGCGGTTATGTGTGATTCATGCGATGTTTCAGTCCACGACCCACGACGATATATTAGCAGATTATTTGTCTAGTATTACAACATTTCGTAAGAGGAGACCAACGCGATAAGTCCTTAATTAATTAAATGCTTATTATGTAAGTGGGTCTAAATACGCTCGGTAATCCAGAATCAAATTTCAATATCAGTATTTAAATGTCGTAATACATTAGACAACATCAAGTTTATGAAACAGAATATTCTTTAAATTAGTTATATATGTACATGGAAGGTTATAGATTTTCTTTCTTTGGAAAATCTGACAGGTTTATATAAACCTGTCAAACCTGTCTGAATCCGCCCCTGACGTCGGTGCTGTTGAACAATTGGAGTGACAGTTTCATCCACATGGATGTGGAGTGATGCACCTTTCAATTTTCCAATTTCTGTAAAAATGTCAGAATATTCTTCCATTAATTGGTTATACTCAATAGTGGTTTCTTGTTCTGTAGAAACAGAGTTGACTGGTTGAGGAATTTTCATGAGTCCCAGCCGGCTTGTGTAGTGGTGTAGGAGAGAAGAGACTGGTGGTTTGCATTCACAACATAAAAATTGCACATTTGCTGACTTGCCCTCAAATGCAACAAATGTGTTCAGTTTTCCCAGTGGTAGAATAGGTTGTTTAGAACCATAAGGATATATGTCAGTGCTCTGCAAGTTAGGAATGTCTTTCAGTGCAAGCTTTTCATAGTGATGTCGGACCAATACATTTACTGAGGCTCCAGAATCGATAAGGAATGGTATAGATAACGAATAAATTCGCAGCTGCACTTCAGGTCAATTACAGGTGATCATACTGATGATCAAGGGAAGAACTATCTGCATCTTTGAGCTCAGTTTCGGTTGAGTTGATGGTTCCTCGTTGGGAAGGTGAGACATCAATGTTTCCCTCCGATCTGCACGTCTTAGAGAAGTGGTTTTGCTTCCCAGAACCACGGCAAGTCTTTCCTTTGGCTGGACAGGGTCTATCTGCTGAATGTGACCATTTCCAACCACAGTTTCGGTATGTTGTAGCTTCTTGTGGAGTAACCTAAGTCTCAGGCTCTATTTTACAAATATTAATAGCATGATACAAACCTTAATCCGATCAGTTTCCACTCACAGCAAAGTTTATATTTAGTATCCAATCAAAATGTCGCAGGAGAAATTTATATTTCACACAACGACAATAACAATCAAATTATAGTTGTGATTACTATAAATATGGTGTTTGTGATGTCACTCTGAGTGTATATCCACACCGGGCAAGCTTGAAAAACTATGCCTGGCCATGGTGGGAATCGAACCTACGACCTTTGGAATACTAGCCCAATTCTCTGCCGACTGAGCTACGTGTTCATGTCGGTTCGAGAATGTGATATTTCGCAACTGAGTCTAGTTCCCTCGATATCAAATGCAATCTAGTAATCATGATTTTAAAAAAAAATCACTATAAAATATACCAACAACAATAGTATAATCTAATTAGCACCAACCAATCAAATGACAGATTAAAAAATCTTTTGTCTCATAGACCAATCAGATTTACAACCGAAATACGGTTGTACGGCATGGACGTTTGCTAAGGTTTGTATCAGGCCTATTTATTTATTTATAGGCCTGATCGCAGGTTATTTGTGGAGCGGCTCGTCTAGGTTGACAAAATGGATACAACGATTTACGAACTTACTTACATCACTGGAGTGGCCTGGACATTAAAGATAAAAAGCGACAACGTGCCCTTTTGCTGCATTATGCTGGCGAAAAAGTATACGATATTTTCTACACTCTCACAGAAACTGGAGGGGATTTCGATACTGGAGAGGATTTCGATACAGCTGTGAGAAAGCTCACCGCCCATTTCGCTCCCAAGAAAAAAATATTGACTTAATTCAAAATATACCGCTTTCGTCAAGTTCGTCAAACTCCAGGCGAGCCAATAGACTAGTTGTCTTGACCAATATATATTTAATAAAACGTATAAAAATCGTCCAAAATAAACCGTCAAACAAGTCAACTCAACTCCCCAAAAACACGCATACATCCTCGTGTCTCTCCCATATATGGAGGTACAGTCCTTATATGGGCTACCGATCACAGCACGACAGGGTGTATATATTAAATTAGCTAGAGAGATATTTGGAATTCTACTCATGTCTCCATTATGCAATATATTTATGGCCAAGAACAAATCGATAATGATTTTAATTTGGTTCAATTTGGATACCATTTGGATACCAATTATATACCGTATATTCTGTTCATGCTTTCACATTCGCATTACATTTAAAAAAATACTTTTTGACAGTCCATTTGCTCACCTGTAAACAATTACTGGGAGTATTTTCATCAGTGGTGCCTAAATTACTTTGAATTTGTACTCGAGTAAAAGTAGAAGTAATTAACAATAAAACGACTTGATTAAGAGTAAAAAGTACTGGAGGCAAAACGTACTTAAGTAAAAAGTACAAAGTATCCTTAAAAAATTCTTGAAGTAAAAAGTAAAAGTACTATGGTCTGTGGCGTGTATGGGGGAGGGGATTTCTCCAATGGATTGACATACAAAAGACAAAAAACAGTACACGCATTTTACGCGTGCACCACTGCACCTAATATACAATAGTTCACGGCATGGTCTATACTTTCCAGATCCCGTTGAAGATATAATAAATCCATTAAATAAATAATGCTTATAAGTAAGCCACAAACGATAGATCCCAGACGTGTGGTCCTATTAGCTATCCCAAAATTGAAATAATTCAGAAATGAATCACGTAAAATTAAAACAAAGTTAGAAAGTAACGAAATACTTCGCTACAAAATGAAAATAACGAAGTAAAACGTTACGTCTTAAAATGACTTCGTTCCAAGTAAAATTACTCCAGAAAAAGTTTACTTTGTTACATGCTGACTTCTCAAAAATAGTACTCAAGTACAGTAACTAAGTACATTTACTTCGTTACTTGACACCACTGATTTTCATTCTGTTTTTATCCCTCTTAATGCTATTAAAAGCGAATAACTTGCTGTTTTCTCGTTCAGGAAAATACAGAAATTTTCGAGCCTCATCTTGTTTTTCCTATATACTGGCAAATTTATGAGCTATTATTAAATATCTTGCTGGTAGAAAGCCAATCAAATTGCAGATCTAGAATAGTTTATACCCGGTAGTTTTCTATTTAATAAACTTCTTGAATCATGATATACATAACTACCATTCAGATTCGTGGCCATCGGAAAGTTACAGCCTTCCGAAACCATTATCAGGATGTCCAAAATTATGGGAAGAAGGATGGTTAAAACAAGACCTTGAAGACGATGCAAGAAAAGACTGGGAATTCCAAAGTAAATTCTCTTCCAATTTTAAAATGGATGCTACTATTATTAGGAAAGAGTTTGTTGAAAGAACGTTTTGCACAAAAGTTGCCAACACTTTTGACACAGTGTGGATTGCATGGCCGAAAGGTATGAAATATAAATGATATGAAAGCATATATATATATTACACTACAGTCTTTGGAGTTCATCAATATATATAAATGTATGCTGTTTGCCATTTACGCAAAAATCCTATTATACTTTAAAAAATTCATTAATTATTCACGAGGAAAATACAAAAGAAATGTTTAATCAATGTTTGTAAATCGGATAAAGATTTGTCCTGATTTACATAAACTTCAGCTTTGATTTTCTCGGCTAGCTTAGACAATGTTTATTTTTGAAATTACTTCGCCAATGAACTCATAAGATGGGTCATTTTTTAAGTACGATAAAACATTCGCATCCGATCTGCATCTGATATACAAACTCTCGCCTTCGGCTCGAGTTTGTATATCAGATATAGATCGGCTGCTCATGTTTTATCTAGTACTTAAAAAACTCATTAATAATTCATGAGGAAAATACAAAAGAAATTAATGTTTAATAATTTTTCAGTGTTTGTAAATCGCATAAAGATTTGTCCTGGTTTACATATACTTCAGCTTTGATTTTCTCGGCTTGAAAGATAAATATATATAGTGACACCAACAGACTCACAGCGAACATCATAGAAGCCAAATATATACTATACTCTATAGCCTCGAAAACCGATTCCTAACCTTCAAGTTTATTCCTTCATTTTTCTCCTGGAATTCCAATATTTAATATTTATTTTAGTACGTATTTTTAGCTTTGAGTATTTTGTTTTATGATAAAATAGTCGCTTACGAAAAACACTTAGCCTATCAAAACACGATTCTAGCTACGAGCCGACGACCAGGAAATCTCTATATTTATACCTAATAAATTAGTAGGCATTACTGTTACAAATGATAATGTTGTTGTCATATTTCAACACTGATATATAGAGAGGCTGAGATTTGACTTCCACTAGCGCTATCGTTACCATTAAGGACCATGCATTAACCAATCAAATGCGTTTAATTTACTCAATTAACCAATCAGACGCACATGCACTGATAAGGCAAACTAAAAAGGCAAATCTGAAACATCAAATTAAAATAGCATTGTTTCAAAATGATAACAACGTTCATTGCTACAACATATAATAATAACATGATAACATTAATACAGCAACGATAACAACGACCTTCGGTTAAAATATTATATCAACATTGTTACGACGTGACAAAGTTAACATGAGGTAATTTTGTTACAGCATGCAGTGTTGGAGCATTGATAACCATATGCACACGTAGTGTTAATTACGGCATGATAACACTATACATTAAAAAAATGTGAGAGAGAATTGGCAATTGTAATTGATATAGACTATTTTTTATTTTAGGTTCTTACTGTATTTACAGAAAACACGAGAGTTGCCCGCAGGACATGGTAGGAGGTTCAATATTTTGGGATGATGAAGACAATAGTAATCTAAATGATAAAGGGGGTTCTTTGCCCGCTTTAGATACTGGCTATTTTGGTACAGATACAATATTATACTATTGTTGTCAAAATCAAGGAAAATGGTATACACCTATTGAACTGCCAACGGAAAAGCCATTCTATTTATTACCTTATGAATCGCGGAACTGCCAACGTGTGAAGTGGGCTATCAGTTCACTCGAGTACATCATATATGACACTGAGGATAACAACAATTTTGATCAATTTATTGGACACCATGTCTTCACTGACAAATTCAAAAGTTTACCGAAAATATTTTACTGCTACTATAAAGGTAGGTTTTTAAAAATTCAATTTATTGTTGGCATATTCCCTCAATCAGACAATAAGGATTGGAACATACTGATCATTACTTACAAACAGTGAAAACAAGGACCAGACATGCAGCGAATAATGGCTGATATATAGCTTGCATGTATATAATTTACTCTCTCATACGTTTTATAATTAAAGATTGGAGCCGGTTGCATAAAAAGGTAGTTATATGGTTAGTGCGAAAGTTAAACAATCGAACTCGGGTATTCTAGGCTTAACTATTCTATTTAAGTACAAATGGAGTGTTTAAAAAGTGTAGTTACGAGTTTTTAAACAACCGGCCCTAGGCTTTCAGCTGACAAATGACGCCATTATTAATCATGCGATTAAAAATGGCCGAATAAGGTCCGATTTAAGCCCCGTACAGATGAACATGTTGTCCCTGACAAGTCTTCCTTGACAATTTGTTAATTATATTAACATTGACCGATCAGAAACAGAGATTGACAGAGTTATTTTTTGGCCCCAGCAGCATGAGGAGTTAAGAGGCAGTCCGTGTAAAAACCGACCACTCGAATTTCTTAAGATTACAGATTTCCTTCAAACTTTCTGTGTGGAAGAAGTCATTCATAAAATGAACAAAAAACGTTGTCTTGGAAATTGTAGTCAGTTTTAAAATTTTTTTCGCAATTATTTTCGGACGCGTTCGAAAACAAGTTAAAACGTTAATTACGCAAGTGATATTTGAGCTTTTTTATATCTCACAGTTCATCTCGCGCTTTTATTCTAACTTCTTGAAACTTACATATTTTATTATTTCCTGTCTAGGCATAAACCTAAACTAAAAATTATCCTGATCACTTGAAGCAAACAAAATATTGTGTATTTTTAAAAAACGTCTTTCGGACAGCTGATTAAATATTCGCGTTAGTATGCTGGCGGTAAATTATTTTTTCTCAAAAGTGCAGCGGTATCAGGTATCCAATCTATTGCAGCTACTGAGTATTATGACACATCTACTAGAATAAATAATAAAATCTTTGGGCAGTGTGTTTTTCGCTTGACAAGCGCGTCATGAATATAGTCAATTTTCGCTGATTCGACTAATTATAAGCTATAATTTGTTAATGCTTCACTTAAATTTTTCGCGTTAAAAACATACAAAACTGTTTACTGTTTTAAATATGGCTCTTTTTTGGACAGAGAGTAAGTTATAAATATGCCAGCAATTATATATGCTTGAAATTTTACGAGTATGGGTATCAATAAATACTACATGCATGGTATATATAAACAAAAATGTATAAGAAAAGTGCGGGAAAGGATATATGTGTGCCAATTTATACGAATGCCTTGAAGGAGCACTTTTTTCTCATCATAGATATAGTGCAGATTTATTTTGCCACTATAATATGAAACAAATATTTTATACATGTTTAATATTTTCATGTTTTTTAAGAACTGCAATTACATGCTGATCTCGGTTAAGGTCCTCTCACACTATTGCGTATGAGAGAAACGTATATGAGTAGCGTAAACCATGCGTGTGCATGCATATATGCGTCCGCATACTCGAAAAATTTTTAACCATGCTTACCTTGCATGGTTCCCCCACGGGCAATAGGACAGGTGTAGTGTTGTTAAATAGAAAGTTGGAAATGGTATTATACTTACTCATGCATTATAATTATGTTTAAAAGATCAGAATATTCATAACTTCTTATTTTGTTTCATAAATAGTTCTTTAATATTCGAAACAAATTCCATATCTGCTTCGTCTGGCATCGCCATGTTTATTCGTCCCAATCTACATGCTGCACGGCATTGCCGCCCCTCCTGGCAAAATAATAAGCAAGCGAGAAAAATTAAGGAGAAAATAAGAGGGTACGAACATTGTGGGCGTTTCGTGGGCGTGTCATCGTTCTGGGCGAATCAGCTTTCTCAATCTTGTATCACATGACTAATTCAAATCGTCATAGGCGGGAAGCAGCATTACACGTCATCCCTACGTCAAATAAAACGTTATAAAACGCGTCGTGGATACGTTTGTGCCATATATGGAAGTTATGGATACGTTTGTGCCATATATGGAAGTGTCACTGCATCCAGCTTATGACAATGATGTTCCTACCCTCTTATTTTCTTCTAATTTTTCTCGCTTGCTTATTATTTTGCCAGGAGGGGCGGCAATGCCGTGCAGCATGTAGATTGGGACGAGTAAACATGGCGATGGCAGACGAAGCAGATATGGAATTTGTTTCGAATATTAAAGAACTATTTATGAAACAAAATAAGCA